CATTTCGCACGGTATTAAAATGTGGACCGTCGCCCTCCCGCCTGGTTGCTCCTCGGTGTGCGTGGTTTTGCCCCCCTGCGCACATGCTGAAAGTCATTTTCCCTTCCTTTTCCTTTACCCACCAAAGGCTGCAATGATTTGAAGAAATTGCCCATATTCGTTTCGGAGAAAATGACGGCCGTTCTAACCTTCTATAGTATATTATTTATGAGATACTCCCTTGCAATAAAGCCAAAAAACTATTTGCTTTTTTCCTGCCATGCTACAAACACGGTTGTGCAAAGCATTTTGCTTTTTCGAAAATTGAAATACGAGGCGGAGAGTAAGAAGGGTTTGCAGCACGTCTGATGAGGGCCTACTGGAGGAGCGGCCTTTCTTCCTAACGTGCGCATGGGTAGCCTTCCCCAAATGCGTGTTTCGCATGGAAAGGAGAAACTCGTTGTCACTCCGTTTGTTCACATAGGCACACTGTAGCACTGCCCCATTGCGGCACTGTGGCAATACGACACTGCGCCACTACGACTGTTTTTCTGCCCCCTTCTGCACACGCGTATGCATTTGAATTCCCTCCACAGTAACAGTTCGGATGAGAAAAAAAAAGAAAAAGGTGGATGCCTTTGCGCTATGCTGATCATTCGAGTCAGTTTCGCGTTTTCATCTTAAAACTGTTTCGCGCAGAAAGGTTGACGAAGCTGATTTTATTGTCGATCACCGAGACTCCAATTTGATGAATGCCCAAGAGGATTCACCAAGGGTACTTGCACATGTGAGCGCGTCCCTATATAGAGAGGCCTACATGCATGCCTGCAATTAAGTACTCGCATTATCATCTCATAGGATGTTGGTTACTGCACGGGACATGCAAACTTTCCACTCGACCATAAAAGGTTAAACAGGTGGAAAGACAAGAAGTCTCCGGAGGCGAAAAAGACATTATGACATTTATGCACAAGACGAATGCGTACGTTCGTCTGACACATACTCATTGCGCGAAGAGGCTTGCACTGGGTGTACATTTAATAGATAGGGAAAAAAACTGATACAGTGATCATCTCTTTTCATCAATCACTGGGTTGACATGGCGTGGGTGTGTTTGTGTCTAGGGGATTATGTTTAGTGGGAATGCCTCCACAGCCCCGTGGCATCGGTATCATCGATTAAATGTGAAAACGGGTGTATTCCTACGCAGTTCATGTAAGCTGGGCACACCTGTTCAGCAAGGCATCGTCGGGTTGAGCGTTCATTTAATATAATTATACCATTTGGCAACCTAACGGTCATGTCCGCAGTGTGCAGGTAGAGAATGTCCCCCCCTGTTGCGCTACCCAATGGAGTTATTATCCCTCGTCGTAAAACCTTCTTAATAGTGCTTAAGCTATACCGTGGCAGGGTATACGGCTCCCATTTTGCACAGAAGGCGTTCTCCGTAAAGTGGACATAAAGAGGGTCCATATTGACGGGCATATATTTTTCTTCCCCCTTTTTGCAACGTCAATTTAGAGGCTGCTTTGAACGGAAAAAAAAGGCGCTTCACAAAATTGCTCTCCTCACAAAGGAAAGTTTGCAGAGATATACAAATTTTCATTGGAACAAAAAATACCGTTTACATAATGGATCAGACAGAGGTGTAACTCTTCATACGTTTAAAAAAAAAAAAAATACAGCTGTGTTATTATTTTCATGAGAGAGGAATTTGTTCTCTTAATGCCCATTTACGCGTTAAACGGAGTTACATGTACTGTTCGTAATTTGTTTGTCGCTATTTATAGCATTTTGTTCCTTTGTCTTTTAACTATGATGTGTACTTTTTTTTTCTTCTTCCCCACGGAGAAGCCAAACTGGCATTCACCGCATGCGAAAAGAAGAAGCAAAGCGAGAAAGAGACGCACGGGCAAATGATCGAACAGGGGGAAATCCAACCATGTGAGGGAAACGGGCGAACGAACACCCCGAGCAGCGCATCCAAACTCTTTGGTGACCTGTTTCTTCCCAGCGCAGAATTGGTCATACAGCGGAACTGCAATACGCCTACGTTGGACGTACTCATAAGTGAACGTATCAGCTGGGCTCCTCCAAGGGGTCACAAAAATGTATATGTATACACATATACTTGTCTCACTGGCACATTTATAGCCCATTTGCAGAATTGTGCATATGTTCAGAATGCTTATGTGAATATAATTTTACATATGTCGCAGCATTAAAATGGCAGCTATACAGACGCGGGGGGTTCCGCCCCCCGAAACGTGGGCATATATACCTATGTATACATAAATGTTATACGTGTGCGGTGGAAGATTATTTTTTTTTACGCTCACATCGCCATGTGAACATAAGACGTGCGCATAGCAGGTACATATGACGCGTACATTACACGTAGGTTACATTTGCGCGATGAAGGGTTATGTCCTCCCGCTTGAAGGAACCCCCCATATATTTACTTACCGAGTGCCCTCTTAAAATAAACCCAAAGAACAAGGGACAGTGCGGAAAGCGGAAAACTGCGTTGTAGGGAACGCACAGCTGTGATGTGAAGGGAAAGATTGGCGAAAAAAGGAAAAAAAAAAAACAGAAAAGGAACAGAAAAGGAACAGAAAAGGAACAGAAAAGGAACAGGAAAGGAACAGAAAAGGAACAGAAAAGGAACAGAAAAGGAACAGAAAAGGAACAGGAAAGGAACAGAAAAGGAACAGAA